GGCACAAACTTGTTGGACTTTTTTACCAAACATCCATTTTTTGAGGAGACAGACCATGGCACAAACACGCGATGTAGTAGTATTGGCGGCAAACCGCTCCCCCATAGGCAGTTTTAATGGCAGTTTGAGCGGTTTTGAACCCTCAGAGCTGGCAGCTTTGGTGATGCGAGATACGGTGCAGCGCTCGGGCGTGGAAGCGGCAAAATTCAACTATGTCACTGTGGGCAACTGCATTCCTACCGATGGCCGCTTTGCCTATGTGCCCCGCGTGGCCAGCATAGAGGCGGGTTTATCGATGGATTCGGTGGCCATGCAGGTCAACCGGCTGTGCAGCTCAGGCTTGCAGGCGATAGTATCCACGGCGCAAGCGATCATGTTGGGTGACTGCGACTACGGCATAGGTGGCGGCGTGGAAGTCATGAGCCGTGGTGGCTATCTCTCCACCGCCATGCGCAATGGTGCGCGTATGGGAGACACCAAACTCATAGACATGATGGTAGCCACCCTAACCGACCCCTTTGGCGTAGGCCACATGGGGGTAACTGCGGAAAACTTGGCGACCAAATGGAATATTAGCCGAGAAGAACAAGACGCATTGGCTGTGGAGTCGCAAAAACGCGCCGCCGCTGCCATCGCCGAGGGACGCTTTAAAACGCAAATTACAGCAATTACGCTCAAAACCCGCAAAGGCGAAACCGTCTTTGATACCGACGAATACGTTAAACCCGAAACCACAATGGAGAGCCTGGCTAAGCTCAAACCCGCGTTCAAAAAAGAAGGTGGTACTGTGACAGCTGGCAACGCCTCAGGCATTAACGATGGCGCGGCTTTTTTTGCGCTGACAGCGGCAGATGTGGCGGCTAGCGCAGGTCTTAAACCTATGGCGCGATTGGTATCCTACGCAGTGGCAGGCGTACCCAACGATGTCATGGGCGAAGGCCCCATACCTGCCACCAAACTGGCCTTGCAACGCGCAGGTTTGTCCCTGGACCAAATGGATGTGATTGAATCCAATGAAGCTTTTGCTGCCCAGGCGATAGCTGTTTCTCGCGGTTTGGGTTTGGATATGCGCAAAACCAACCCCAATGGCGGCGCCATAGCGCTCGGACATCCTGTGGGCTGCTCTGG